TAGGAACTAACAGTGGAACAATCGATGATACATTTTCGAGGCCTAGTTTAATCCTTTTGCTCAGAACCATTCATCCCAGCTTTCACATAGCCTCTTCTGTGTGTACCAAGCTATTTTTTTAAATAAGTGCTCATTTTTATGACACTATTCTAAGTTGTAACATATGTTATATTGCTTTATAATTTGCATGTTTTTGAGCCATTTATCCATTTTTGTGATTTGGAGATATGATACTGCTACAGAAAAAATTCCTTCGAACAGCTAAAACATCAAGCACTCACCCAGGAGTGAGTCAGAAGCTCACTTATTCTTTTCACATGCAGAATCAGCAACAAAGGCTTCAAGATTTTCTGGGCCAGAACAGAAGTATAAATGGGGGTTATACAGGCCTTTCCACATCATCATTTTATGGCTGTTACCTGGGCCCTTTGTCTGTTTTCATGATGGTCCATGTGGTCTCAGAAAAAATTCCTCCCTTAGTTCACCTGTCATCATAGCTTACAAAGTAAGTACCTGGCATGAGTCAGGACAGCAGCTGCCTTTTGATCTATAGCTAGGCCAGGCTTTGGGCTAGGAAGCAGCCAAGCAGTCACTGCAGTCTACAGAAACAGATACCACAGACAGAAGTTTAAATATCCGACACACTTGATCTACACTTTTCTTGGACAAATTGGACCAGGTGCCTCATTAAACCATGTGGTGAACTTTCCATTTTCTTAGTTTCACATCTTTTTTTTTTTTTTTTTTTTTTTTTTTTTGATGTTTTTGAGACAGGGTTTCCCTGTAGCCCCAGCTGTCCTGGAACTTACTACGTAGACCAGGCTGGCCTTGAACTCACAGAGATCCACCTGCCTCTGCCTCCCGAGTGCTGGGATTAAAGGCGTGCGCCACCACACCCGGCTTTATCAGCAGTTAGAGTGGTGAGTGGAAAGCATCACAGAGCTTCAAGATATTACAGATAAAACACCTCAGGGTAGTGAAAACATCATGGAGCAATAAAACATCACAGATGAATATAAGCAAAAACACACTAAGGAAAAGTGTGTGGAATAAAATCATGTTGCCTAAACGTTAGACAGGAGCCCAGTGCAGTGCTCAGAGCCCCTGTGCCACCCTTCAGAACGATTACTGAGGAGCGAATACTATTTCTATGCAAATCATGAGTTTCATATGCCTGGATACATAAGGATAAAATTGCTTCTTACTTTTTTTTTCTTTTTCTTTTCTCTATAAAATCTACCACTTGGGAGGTCACCAGGGATTTGAGAAACACCACTCCAGGTCAGATTCTCATAAAGTCTTATCATGGCCTGGGGATATTGCACAACTGGTCCTTTGGAATAGTCTATGGAAGACATTTGGAGGGCGGGGTGGAGGTAAAGGACTAGTTCCAACTTCTCTTTAGATAACAATCAACTGTCTCCACCTTCTGTCTTCCTAATGAAACATCTACATGGCCTGAGTGGCTTGCTGGTTGTGGCAGCAGGTCTCTCCAAGGCAGGGAATACCCAGTATGGGGATCCCCAGCACAGTGTCAGGCACAAAGGTGAGCTTCATGCTGAGATGGTGTCATAAAATGAACAGCCTCATCAGGCAGCAAGTCTTTGAAACAGAATTCCAAAGTGTTATCTTATTGTTAACCATATGCAGCTAGTGTGCCCCTCAACACATCCTAGAATTCGTAAGAAACACCTGTGTATTAGTTCACTCCAGTAACCTTCCCAGGTAGAAGAGCAGCCGCCCCTCCTCTGCTCAACCATCTGATTACTCATCCCCTCAGTCCCCATCTCCATCAGCTTCCATTAGCAACAGCACTGAGAACAGAGTACATACACTGAGGTCAGGTTGCCCCTAGTATACAGATGGTCATAACCCCACCTCTAGTGACTCACTTGTCCTGCCTCCCAACCTCAAGTCTGTCCAGAGTCCATCCTGCAAATGAATCCCACAGGCATTATTGTCCAGGACTCAGGTTTGCAAAAGGCCTTAATCTTAGACCTTTGGCATATCTCCATTATTGGTACATACATCTTCTGTGTGTTGATTTATTAGTGCAAACACTTAAAATACACATTTTTATGATCACGCTTTGGTATTTGTTTACTATGTTTGGAATCTAAAAAAAAAAAAGAGGTCAAGACAGGCATGGTAGCAAATGCTTGTATCTCCAGTGTCCACACAAAAGTATAGTTTATTCTGGAGCCAAATATGAGTGACCGTGGCCTGGGAACACAGATTCAGGTTACCCCAAATTCCACCTTCGAACATGGTAACAGCTTCATGTAGTTTTTATAGTAAGAGAACAAAGTCATAAATCAAGACATTTTTCAAATACATTGGTGGAAACATTAAGTAGGTGGTTACAGCTAAAGAGAAATCCCAGCTACAGGCTCAGAAACAGAGATGGGCACAGAGTGGCTAGTTAGGGGGCTTAAGATACCCCAAGATAAATTGGAGTTAGGTTGCAACATTCAAACTCTCCACAGTCACTGAAGTCCTCATCAGTTGTTCAGCCTCCGCAGAGAGCTCAGTTTTAAGGTGCAGTTTTTCTGAGAACTTTTGTTCATACCATTACCTTCCATACTTAGGAGACTGAGGCATGAACATCTCACTTTAAAGCCAGCCTGAACTACATAGCAAGATCTTGTCTCAAATTGTTTTTTATTACTCTTATTTGTGTGCATGTGTGCATGTGGCGCACCGTACGTGAGCATGCATGTTTGTGCCCCAGGATGAGTGTGAAATCAGAGAACAGCTTGCAGGAGTGGATTCCAGGGGGTCAAACTCAGGTCAACTGGCTAGTCAGCAAGCACCGAGTCATTCTGTTGGCCGCAAGTTTTTAAAAATAGAAGTATGCTATGTAGCTATTTCCTCTAAATTTAAACAGAGATGGCTCGGTTTGTAAAGTGCCTGCTGTCAAGCATGAAGACCTGAGTTTTGATCCCCAGTACCTACCTAAAAGCTGGGTACGGTAGGGAACATCTGTAACTCCAGCACTGGGGAGAATGGAGACAGGTGGATCCCTACAGCTCATGGGATGGCCAGCCTAACTGAACAGAGGAATTCCTGCTTCAGTAAGAGACCCTGTCTCAAAAATACGGTAGAGTGCAATCCAGGAAAACACCAGATGTCAACCTCTGGCCTCCACACACATGTGCACACACCCACAAGAACAGAACATGTGAGAGAAGAGAGACGAAAGGAGAGGAAAAGGGAGGGGAGGGGAAGGGAGAAGGAAAGGCAGAGGGATGAAGGAAGTTAACAAAACTAAGAAGCTCAGGACACTCATTAAACTTACATGACCCAGGAGTTCAAAAAGTTCTAAGACTCATGAGGCCCCTTCCCAGAGTTATATAAACAGCAAACATTGCTGGATGAGAGGAGACTGATGAAGCTGCCTGCAAGCTGGACAGAGAGCTCCATGGAGCTCCATCAGTGCAGATTTTATGAGATGTCACCTGTACTGGGAAGGTGTCCCAACTGCCCTTTATTTACCCAGGCTCCTGTAAATAACCCCTTATCCGTGATCTTAAGTAACTCCAATAAACCCATTGGTTCACCAAGTAGAATCATTTCTTTGGTCTATTCTCAGCGCTCTGTGTGGGGTAAATAGAAGTTTGTTTACATCTTCCCAGAACTGACAGAACCTACGTGTTTGGAAGGAAACACTGTAAGGCCCCTGCTGTGAGTGACAGGACTTGCGAGGCTGCTCTCTGAGGGCGGGTTGTCTCGGAGGGCAATCCTGATATGGCAGCCTTTCCCCATACTGCAGGGGATTCTGTGTCTCTTTGCTGATGTGACAATTGCATGACTCCTGCTATGAGCCATAGGCGCGCAACCAAGGCTGAGCTGCCTGAAGGTGGAACATCTGTGGGGCTAATCCCAAGACAACTAGTTTCCCCTATGTAGTATGAGGATGCCTCCCTGATAAATGGGGTTTGCCACATGAGTACAGTGGCTACCCTAAAAATGACTGAGGAACTACAGATCTTATGATCTGAAAGTAGCGTGGTTGGGGCAGGATCCCCAGCAAGCCAACGGTGTGGCCTGTGGGTGTTAGGATATGTGACTGAAAGTCACTATTCAGTGCTTGTTTGCGTAAGGGAAGAATCACAACAGGCAAAAGGCAGATACCGGCCTCCACACTAGCCACTGATTTGGCAGGAAATGTGGAAAGAAAGGGAAGTCAGATAATGGTGTCTCTCCTGCTTGCCTAAAAGCAAATGTGACAAGATTTGTATCAAACAGGAGTGGGGCGGGGGGAGGTGACGGAAAGCCAAATCCTGTGCTTACAGGTCTTTGGAAGACTTTAAAGTCTGTGCAGTTCCCCAAAGTGGTCAAAGGAGTAAATGATAGAGAGGTACAGGCAAAAAAGATTAAGCTTGTCCTAGGAGCAGACAGCTATTCCCCAGAGTATGCTGTGCACATTTCTCCAAGGAAGTGTGCTGGAGGGGAGACTGTTTTCAGCAGCTATGTGTGACTGACAGAGAGGCCTTGATGCTTACCCAGAGCTTGTCAGACCCAGGGAACTAACTCCAGCAGCAGTCACAACTAGATGATGGCACTGCCTTGGGCCGCACCGAGCACTGCAAGCTAGTCCTGCTAAGACAGTCATGGGTGGAGAGATACACAGCAGCCCATGGCAGAGACTATGCAAAGACCAGCTGCGATTATGGACGATGAGATGGGGTAGTGACAGTGCCACTGTGCACAACATTCTTCTGATGAAAGACACGTAAGGGGATCATTTCATGCTATGTTGGACCTCTAATGTTTTGATAAGACCAAGGGGCATTTGCTTGGAGCAGATGGCATTAGGCTTTCAGAGATCTTGTCTGCCCTATCTAAAAAAAACATTTTATTGCTTTTGTTTCTTTTATTAACTCATTCTTTGAAAATTGCATACATGTACATAATACATTCTGCTCACACTCACCCCTCCACCCTCTCCTGTTCTCTTCCCACCCACCTCCAACCCACCCCTTCCATCAAGTCCCCATCCCACTTTCACGTGTTTTTGTTTTATATCTTTGTTTTGCAATCCACTGGTTTTACTCAGGACCACTCATGCGGTCATGTCCACTACAGCATGGGTAACTCACCAACGGTTACATCACTGGAGATAAGGACTTCTCCTTCAGTAGTCCTTGACTGCCCTTAGCTCCCTTAGGCAAGGCGGAGCCCATGAGCCCTCTAAGACCCTATGCAGGCAATGGCAGCTGTGTGAGTTTGTGAGTGCTTCCGCCATGTCGTGCCCATAAGACAGAGTTTCACAGTCCTCTCCCTACAGCTGGGCTTTTACATTCTTTCTGCCCTTTCTTCCAAGGTGTTTTCTGAGACTTGGAGGAGGGAGATCTGTGTGTCCCATTTGATGCTGAACACTCAGCAGTCACTTATTCTCAGCACCATGACTAGCCCTGAGTCTGCAATAAGCGCCATTTGCTGTAAAGAGAAGCTTCTTTGATCAAGGCTGATGACAATAAAAAGTTTCTTATTCTTATAGACATATTATATATGTGAAATATATGCTAATCCTTGGCTGTCTTATAGATTTGGAAAAGCATCGAGAGAACGATAAAAACATCAGTTAAAGAGTTTGAATGAAGGCACACCACATGTGTGGAAAAAGGCACTCCCAGGAGCCATAAGGCAGCTCCTTCCCTATAAGTTATGAGCTAGGGAGGTCGCTGATGCCCCCAAACCATATGAAGCTGTTGCCAGTGCTGTTGGTTGCATGTTAGAGCTAGATGAGAAGTCCCTATTGCTGAAGACATCACACATTGACTGCAAGGTATGGAGACACCATGCTGGAACTGAGCTATGAGAGCCCTATTTGTTCACTAAACCAGATTTGGGTAGTTTCTTTGGTCTTTTGTTGGTGTTCTAATCTTGGGTAAATAGATGTTTATGTCTTCCCAGGAAGAATCACATAGTAAAGTGACAGGGGTCTCTTTTGACCTGGAACTGGGCAGGGTTAAGCAGTGCTGAAGCAATTCCCTCCTGAGGGTACAGCGTGCTCGTTCTTCCCAGCTGGCAACACCGATGTGAAGGACAATGCATAGATGTTTCCTTGTCAGTTAACCTTGAGAAAGCTGGATTGAGAGTTCCAAGGAGAAGCTAAGCGTTGGCGCTGACAGTGTCTTACTAGAAATGAGTGCTAGGAAGCATAGACTGCCTTGTGCTGTGTTCTCTGAAGCCCATATTCTGGAGATGGAACTCAGTTCTAACACCCAATTGGATGGAAAGCTCGGACTTATCTTCAGAGTAGAGAGGAGCCGCTGAAGATGGACAAGGATGAGTGGCTGATTCAGTTCTGCATCGTAGATAGAGCCTAGGTATTAATGGAGGAGGGGAGACTGGGGCCACTGAGCTGCCCGTGAATTCCCAGGTAGAAATTCCAAGTCAAGTCCTCAGGATCAAAGCAGAGCCCCTGTCCTCAGAGTTTCCAGGTGAAGCTTTGACCAGACAAATGGCCCTTAGCAAGCAAGACACAAAGAGCAAAGGCAGCCATGCCCAGGCTTCCTGGTGTGGAATGTTTCTTTACCCTTGGGTCTGCCTTAGGGGACTGGGAAAGGGACAAGAGCTGGGCAACCTCCCAGGAAGGCAGGTTCAAAGAAGAGGAGGTAAGTTCTCACTGGGAAACTTGGTGGTCTGGCGCCCCATTTTCTGGGACAACCTGTCCATTTGCTTCCTCCATCATTTCCTTGTATTGGCGCTTGAAGAAACCAGTCTGCAGGAAGGAAGAAGAAAGCCAGGGTGAAGAAGTGACTAGGAGAAAAAGAAAAGAGGCAGAGGCTAGGGAGATGGCTCAGTGGGCAAAGCACTTGCTGCATAAATGGAGAACTGGAGTTCAGCTCCCCAGAACCCATGTAAATGCTGGTAGGCATAGTGGCCTGTCTATAATCCCAGCACTCAGAAGGTAAAGGTTGGAGATCCCTGGAACAAGGTGGCTAGCTAGACTGGCCAAATTACTGAGCTCCGGGTTCAAGTGGGAGACCCTGCTTTAATATATAAGGTGGAGAATAATCAAGAAAGTCACCCAACTTCAACTTTTAGTTTTCACATGCATACACAGGTATGTGAATACGTACCCATAAACACACGTGTGCCCACACACAAGCACATGCAAAAAACAAAAAGGAAAGGAAAAGAGGTCACCAGAGGAAAGGGAGGTGTAGCCCCTACTACTTTCAAAGAACCTATACATATTGAATCATTTAAGACAAAACTATGTGGATAGAATTACCTTCACGCTAAAGAAATAACATTCTAGTCTTCTGTCAAGGGAAACATGCAAAGAACTAGAGAGTGGAAAGAAAGTGAGACAGATGAGCAGAGGTCTGAGGGACAGATAGGAAGGCACAGACAGTAGACAATGGCCAACAGTGGCATCACAGGGGGAGGAAGTTTCTCACATGAAGTGCACAGTGTACTTTAGACTCCATAAGGTGCTCTTGCTTACCCTGTACGATAAGCAGGATCAAAACTGCTGTTAGGACAAATCACTTACCTTGTACAGTGTGGCTGTGATGAGAGCCAGCAACAGTAGACCTCCTACTGAGCTGCCCACAATGAGAGGGATCAGGTTGGGGACTTCGTACTTCTCCAGCACTGTCTTCAGCTGAGGTGGAGGTGCACCCATCAGAAAGCATCAGGTCTCATGCTGCCTCACTCTCTCCCTGAGTTCCCAGCCTTTAACTCCACCCCCTCCTTGCCCAGACCCTGTTCTAAGGAATGAGATACACAAGCACTCAAGACCTTCATCCCTCCTCCCTCTGGGCCTGCAAATCCCCCAGCCAGCACCACAGATTGAGCATCAGGATCCTACCAGCCTAGCCACAGTCTGCCACACTGCCTACCTGGGCTCTCAGGAATGCCTCCTGTCCTGGAATCTGGGAATATACAGATGTGTTGAAACTGATTTCAGCCACACTCATGACCAACACCTTCTTCTGCAATGTCTGAGAAAGACAGGGTGGGGCAGAGCTGGGAATTAGATCTGGAGGGAACTCAGGGTTCAAAAAATGTCCTGGCCTAAGGATGCCTCAGACCCACCAGGCATACATGGACCAGGGGAGGGCCTCTGCCATTGGCCACACACCTGGCTGACCCAGCTGAAGCTGAGGTTGCCCTTCAGAATGAAGTCAAGCTCCTCCTGGCTGCCCAGGGAGGGGATGTCACAGTGGAGCCACAGGCAGTCAGCGATGGAACAGTCCTGGGGACCAAGAAATAGTATCAGGCCAGAGGAAGGTGAGTCTGAAGGCAGGAAGCAACTGTGAGATTTGAGAAGCAGCCACTTCTGGGTATAGCTGGCTATTCAGCAGGTGCCATTTGACATTCAGAAAACAAAGTCCTCTGATCTATAGCTTAAAGTGGTGGAATTTCCCAAAGCCCTCCTCACCAGCACAGGTCTCCCCTGCATGTGAGTCAGGAAGTCCGATTGTGTGGGCTCTATTTTATCTGCAGAGCACTGGATGGACAGGTTCTAGAAGGCAAGGAGAGAGCAGTGCCTCAGTTATAGCAGCAGGGGTTCACAAGGGACACAGGCGATGTGAGGAAAAGGCGTTAGTTGAGGAGCCATCCCTGGCCTTGTATACCTGAGGGTGAGAGATTGCTACTGTCCACACAGCTTCTCCCTTCAGCTCCACAGGTACCTGGAAGGTGATGCTGACTGGCACGTCCCTCTGTCCTAGATTATTCACCTGCATAGAAGGAGTGAGGGCAGAGCCCATGCCAAGCTCACCTGTCCCTACTCACCAGCCTCCCCGCTCCTGCCCCAGTTCAAGCTCCACACTTGCCTGGTATCTGTGCTCAACAATACTGCTCCCCTTTTCTTCTGAGGCTGAGAAGTTAAGGTATTTGGTGGATTGTTCATGGCTGGAGAGAGAAGAGGAATGAAGTCCCACAGACCTCCTAGGAGGGTCTGACTCTAGCATGATGAGGCAGGTAGTCAGTGAGGCCTTGGGATGGCATATAATGAGGTATGTGGCTGGGTTGGGATAAAGGAGGGTTTAGGGAGCTTAGGGAACAGGCCAGCACCAAGGTGGGTATAAGGGAGCATTCAGGTGCCACCCAGAGTTTATGGCTGAGGGACAGCTAGGTTAAGGTGTAAGGAAAGGACCTCAGAGCCAGGTCACCTACTCACTGGGAGAGAAGGCACCACAGCCTGCCCCCATCTCTACACCTCCATTGTTGTGTTAGTGCTTCTTGGGCATGTGGGGCCCAGCAAAATTTGAGGGAAACTCAGGCTCATCTGCTGATCACATGCCCTGCCCATTCTTGACCCCTAGACCTCCCATGAGGCCTCCTTTTCTCTGTTTCCTTGACTTTCCTCACCCTGGGACTTAAAGGAGGCAAACCACAGACTCTTCCATAGGCCTCAGTGTCACAACAGCTTGTGAGACCTCCTTGGATCCAGCCCTGGAGGAGCAAGCACCACACGGTCCCTCACATAGCAGCTCATTCTGCCCCACATTGCTCCATTCCTCAGATATCTAACCCTTGCCCACATACTCCAATACCAACCCACCACTCCTGCGCTTGAGGCAGCTAGATAGGCATAGGGGAAAAAAGAGGCAAACTGCATGGCGAATTGAGGCTGATACAACCACAAAGCTGGTTTACGGCACAACATCATGTACCTGCTCAAACGGTAAAGAACAAGACCATCCCAAGCCAGCTAGGACCAACATGGCCAACCGAGGGGTTAAGTAGTTACCGTTACTTCATTATAATGGCATCTTCGTATCATTAGTCTTGCAGAATTGCCTGGTCCTATCCTATATCTGAAGCTACGACACATCTGAAAACTCCATGTAGGGAAAGAAAGGTAAGTAAACCCTGTTGTGGGGATTCTTCTCTCCTAAAGTTGGTCAATGAGGCAAGCTACCGAAAATGCTGGGAGATATGACTCATGGACTGCTCACACTCCCTTCTCGAATACATACTTTTGCTCTGTACTAACACTTCCTCCTAATTCCTTACATTGCCTCATGTCTAAATTCCTTCTCTGATGGTGACAACAGCCTAGAATCACTGGGTAGAGGTCTCAAGCTGCTCTGTCTTTCACACTTCCTCAGCCTTTACCCAATGGCAATCATCTAAAGCTTCATTCTCCCATTCTCCCTCTCCTAAGGGACTCCTCCCAAATGCCCTGGACTGCTCCTAGTGGCCTCTCTGAGAAGCCCAACCAGAGAGTCATATAGACTCTCACAGAATGCGGGTCACCTGTGGGGCCACACAGGCCCACGGGTGGTATGCCCTGCCTGCGGGTCCCTACAAAGTGGTATGAGAACCTGCTTACATACCAGCTCAGAGTGTGCATCTGTCTGTGGGCCCCCAAACACACAGGTGAAGTAAGAGTGTTAAGCACTAAGCAAAAAGAGACCATCAGATGGGGTAGCTCCTGTAAGAGCTGGGCTTTATTGAATTCATAGAAACTAACCACACAGAGGAAGCACTAAGAAGGCATCTGCTCAAGCATTTTGCCACTTCTTAGCTTCAAATGCCTCCTCCAATCACCCTCAGCAGCCCTGCCTTCCAATCCAGCTTCTCCAATACCCATCCTCAGTGGCAGGCACATCATTGTCCCTATTTTCTGCAACAGGAGAAAAAAGGTTCTAAAAGCCCTACAAGATATGCATCTGGTCCTTGCAAAGAGCTGTCTTTCCCAAATGACAACCACCCATTGAGAATCACTTTTGGTCAATCCCAGTGCCATAGACCAATGTTTAACTAAGCCCTCCACCTAAAGGAGACCTTACTCCTTTCTTAGAAACCTACTGTTAGAGCTTCATCTTGAATGTCTTTCCCCAAACCTATGTGTCAGACTTAACCCTTAGAAGGTGGGGCCTAATGAGTTCTTAGATCACTGAGCATGTGCCCCCAAAGGAGACTATGAAATCATAACTCCTTCCTTGGTCTGCTTTTTGGCTTCCTCACCATGAGGTGAGTAGTTTTGCTCTACCATATACGTCATTATGCTGTATCACCACAGGCCCAAAGAATCACGAACTAAAGCCTCCAAAACCATGAGCCTACAAAAACCTTTTCTCTCAATAGACTGCCTCAGATACAGTTGTGATGGAAATCTGATTAGCATGCCACGTCATCTCAGGGTACAGAACTAAAGAACAGCCTTTGATGAGACTCTGGCTTGGTCTGCAGTTAGGCTACAGGAACCCCAAAGATAAGCATGTGTCTCATATATCCTAGGAAAACCTTAGGGATTTCCCAGAAGTCTTCTGAGACCTTTAACCTGTATTAAATGTAGAGTATAATAGTGATTTCACAATTATTGTCATAACTAGCCCACAAGAAGCATCCATGGATGAATAAGCACACAGACATCAGTATGCCTACTACTTGAAAGGAAGACAATTAACCTAAAATATCCCAGATGATCAGTGGTGGATCTCACATCCTCTTGCTCCCAATTAGAGTAATGAGAAGAATCCAGGACTGTACCTGCTGATCAAAGCATAGACAGCATACTTTACTGGGAGCTCCAGCTGGAAGGTGGTTTTGCTGGTCCTGGATATGCTATTCTCACTGGGGACAGAGGAAAGGCTCATCCAGAGGAGGATTTGGTGTGAAGCTAAGAATAAGCAGATACCACCCCTGAGCCAGGCCTAGCTCACCTGCTCACATTGGCAATCAGAAGTATGTGATCTCCCAGTGCAGCTTTTGGGGAGACATCAAAAGTTATCAAGAAAGTCATCTGTGGAAGAGAGGAGACTGGAAGGTCATGGAGGAGTGAGGCAGGATGGGGACAGGGGAAGGGTGAGCGGAAGCCAGGCTGACCTGCGTGCCTCCTCGGAAGATAACATGGCTGATGCTGCAGCTGGTACCCCAAGTGCCCTGGCTCCTACCTGGAGCACTGTCACATGTGAGGTGCAGAGAGCGCTGCTGCGTCTGGCTCTGGGCAAAGGCAAAGCGAAAAATCAAAAATGAACAAAGAATGGGCGGTGAGTATTTAGTATCTAGTGTCTTAAAGGGACTGTGATACAGGGCCATACGTTCCTGGTCTTAGGGCTTAAGGCCAGGTACTCTCTGGTAAAACTTCCTGCCAGTATAGAAATCGCTAATCATTGGAGTTTCCCCCAGCCCTTTCATTTCTTGTTTTTTTTTTTCGGTTGTAGTTTTGTAGCCCAGGCTGGTCTGGAACTCAGTATATAGAACAGGCTAGCCTCAAACTCATGGTAATCCTCCTACGTTGCCCTCCAAGTGTTAAGGTTACAGGTGTGAGCCAGCATACCAGGCTGGAATGTTTCAAATATAAGGAACAGAGAGTAGAAAATCAACCTCCAGGCCTCCATCGTCAGCTGAAATTATCAACGTTTTCCTACTGCTGTTTGATTCTGTTTATTCCCCACTTTTTATTTTCCTGAATAATTTAAAGTAGATGCCACATATCACATCTCATCCAGATCTATTTCAATGCCTACCACCAACCCAGGGTATTTTTTTTAATATAACCACAAGAGCCAACAATCACACCCAACAGAATTAAAAATAACTCTTTAATAGACCAATCATGTTCCATTTTCTGGAATTGTCTCCTAGCCTATTTTTGCACTGCTCATTGGCTAAAATCAACATCCAACAAAAGTCCACACGTTACATCGGGTTGGAATCTGAGCATTTTCAATGCCAAGACTGTCACCTCTCACACTCTGGTGATTGATTGCTTTTCCAGGAATGTTCATATGTTAACCAAAATGTGATCCTACTAGGGATACTAGACTAGGAGACATGGCAGACCTAACAAACAAATATATGGGCCTAGTTTAGACTCCGGTTCAAATAAACCCGAGTAAAGCAGCACTGTAGAGAGAATTAAAGGAAACTGACTATGCTCTAAACACCAAAGATGGTTCATTCATTGGATGAGATAACAGTTTGGGAATGACACAAAATGTTGACATTGTTCAGAACAACAGAGTGAAATGAAGAGAAAAGCAATGGCCCAGTGTCTTAAAATATTTGTCTTAAAATACTTCAGCAAAGAAACCCAAAGTCAGGTATGATTGTGTGCACCTATAATGCCAGCACTTGGAAAGTTGAGGCAGGAGGATCAGGAGTCCAGGGCCAGCTTGGCTACCTAATGAATTTGAGGCCAACCTAGGCTATATGAGACCCTGGCTGAGAGAGAGAGAGAGAGAGAGAGAGAGAGAGAGAGAGAGAGAGAGAGATCAAAATACTGATCATTATTGATTTTATGGTTTTAGAAGGTTTTGTTGAAGTATTTGCTACTTTAGTAAAAGGTTAAAATTTTTCATAATAAAATTTTTGCAAAAATATCTGTTTGTGTATGTGTCTACTCCTTATGGCCATAATTCTGTGTTCTAGAACAGAGAATGACCCAGCATCTACTCTTATAAACAGCTTTATTATGCACTCATTATTCTTATCAGTGGGATTACCGTTGGAGCAGAGCTGAGCAGCTTGTGGTGGAACCTGCTTAGTCCACATAGCTGACATATTTCCTATCCAGTCTTCATAGAAAAGCTTTTGACAAGCCCCAAGCCAGAGTAACCTGTTAGGGAACCCTGCTGTTAAGGTCGGCTCCTTTCTCCGCAGGGGCTTCCTGCCTGACTTACCTGGAAAGTGACACCAAGCATGAATGCCTGACCTTATTCAGAACATGACCTTTGGCATAGTTACCTGCAATAAAAACTGCCCCCAGGTTTTTTCTATATGGTAATTAGATATTGCCCTATAGTCAGATGATAGGATCCCCCTACCACATGTAAATCAAGCATACTATGAGCACCTATCAGCTGAGGCTTTGGCTGCTGCCTCCACATTATATTTTCCCTAACCCCCACTGAATAAATGGATCTGTTTCACTGAGTCTGGAGCTGTATCACTGAATCTGGAGCTGTATCACTGAATCTGACTCCCCAGAAGGGCTTTCTTCCATCAGTGCTCACTGGCCGTCCTGACCCCATTCATCACTTCTGCTCCCTTTGTTCTCGTGGATCGGTGGCCAACGACCCATGAGGGGAGGGAGAGACCCCACAGTAACCAATGAGTTAAAATTCTTTCTTTACAGAGCAATATTTTAAAATTCTTTGCCCAGTATACTGGTACATGACTATATTCCCAGCACTTTGGAGGCTGAGGCAGGAGGATTCCAAGTTCAAGGCCAGTCTGGGCTACACAGTGAATTCTGGACCTGCAAGACCTAATCTCAAAAACTAAATAATTTAAAATGCACTATACTACAACATTTGAAGATTGAAGTAGGTTTTTCATTTTTAAGATTTATTACTTTTAATTTATGTATGTGTATGTGCAGGTGCCTATGGAGGTCAGAAGAAATCACTAGATCCCCTGAAGTTGAAGTTATAGGTGGTTATGATCCCACTGATATGGGTGCTGGGAACTGAACTTGGGTCCTCTAGAAGAACAACAAACACTCTTAACTGCTAAGTCATTTCTCCAGTCTTAAGGTAGGTTTTCCTTTAAAAGGGGGACTTCTTTATATGTGGCATACAAAGAAGTTTAAGTCAAAGTACCTTTCCCCTCCACAGTAGTAGCCTCCCAGAAACACATTTCTTCTCCTTTTTTTTTTTTTTGCTTGTAACTTTTAAAAAGTATTTTATTACTTTATTTTTTTATGTATATGAATGGTTTGCCTGCATGAATGTAAGTGCACCCATGTTGTGTAATGCCCATGGAGGTCACAAGAGGGTATCATTCCCTAGAACTGGAGTTATAGACAGTTGTTAGCTACAATGCGAGTGCTGGGAATCAAACTCAGGTCCCCTGCAAGAGCAGCCAGTGCTCTAAACTGCTGAGCCTCTCTAGCCTCTTCTTTTCCTAATTTTTTTAATTTATTTTGTTTTAAATATTTTATTTTTATTTCATGTGTATACTCGTGTATTGCCTACATGTATGTAAGTGCACCCATGTCATTAAATGCCCACGAAGGACAGTAGAGGCCATCAGATCTGGAATTGAACTTACAGACAGTTGTTCGCCACTATGTGGATGCTGGGATTCAAACCTAGGTCCTCTACAAGAGCAACCAGTGTTCTTAACCACTGAGCCATTTCTCTAGCCCTTACCTATTATTTTTAACAAACGTTTGTTTGTTTGATTGCTTATTAATTTATTTATTTGGGGGGTGCATATGTGTGTGTGTGTGTGTGTGTGTGTGTGTGTGTGTGTCCCAGGGTGTGCACAGGATAGGGAATTTGTTAGACAGAGGGCAGTATGTCTGGGTTCTGAGCCCCAGGTAAGAGTGTTAGGAAGCCAGAGCAGGAGCCTTGAAGATAACTTGCAGGAGTTGGTTCTCCTATCCACTATGGATGCTGGGATTGAACTCAGGTCATCATGCTTGGCAGCACATGCCTTTACCTGCTGAGTCATCTCTCCAGTCCTGGAACTCATTTGTTACAATCATTATCTTCAAAATGAGGTGCCTAAAGTACAATATCCAGACAGCAACCAATCAAGACTAGCCCAGACCTCTTGACCAATCAGAGATGGCTAAGCAATGACGACACAGCCTGAGCTTGGGGCCTAGCACAGCCCTATGCTAATTCCCAGCCCCCTCACCTCTTTCATCCTCAGAGGGAATACTTTGCCTTTGGCTACTTTTCGAAAGGACAGTCCCTCTGGGTAGAAGAAGGTGACCATGGTCCCATAGGAATCTTCGCCGTCATTGGATACCGTCACATCTACATGCAGCTCCAGGTCATTCCCCACTATCAAAGTCTTCAAGCTAGGTGTTGAGGAGGAAGAAGGAGATGATTTGTGACTGAGTCCTGAAGTGGTCTGGGATGAAATGCAGGGTAGGGAGGTAAAAGATAGGCAGAGGACAGTATGCCCCAGCCTCCTTCCCCGGATCAGGGACTCCAGGGAGGATCTAGGGGTTAAAAACTTACCCTGAGAAGCCAAAGGTGACGCCAAGGTCATCCTGGCAGACGTGATCATCTCCACAGTTCTTCTCGAAGGGAAGCTGAGAAAAAGGTGAAAAGCGTTTCTAGAGAGTCAGAACTCTTGCAACTCGCTAGGTCTGGGGCTACCGGCTAGTCAGGCCACGCCCACATGCAGCAGCCTCCTTCTAAGAGCCAAGTGAAGGAGATGGCAAGCTCCCTGCCAAGAGCCTGTCTGTGACTCTTTAACCCTCTAAGAGACTCAGCAGGTGCCAGGCTCCAGGACTACAGCCAGTGTCATTCTCACCTCCCCAAGGAAGTCCACAGGCTCAGGTGACAGACTCTAGGACATCACAGTGCTTCCTATATAATAAGGACATCACAACTAGATGTGCCCCTCCTCCTTGACCCCTCATATCCTTGGAGTCCTACATTGCTTCCCTGGAATGCAGGACCCCAGACAGATGCTCTCTCCTTGTTACCCAGAAATCAGGCTGCAGGCCCCTGCTGAGGGCTACTCATCAACCATGTGGCATGAAACCTCCCTGTCCTCTGAGACCTACAAGAAAGACTCCCCGCCCCACCTCCACTCTGCCATGTGGGCTTGAACTCTCCTCAGAGTCCCTACCATGTTGTGGTCTGCCTGTCTGTCTATGGTGTCAATAAGTCTTCTAATAAACCTCTTACCCAAGAGGACAGCCTGCCTCAACATCCCACTTGAATGCCAAACCCAAAACCTTTCCACAGACCCCTCTAGAAGAACCCCAGCATCACAGATAACTGACTCACAGAGGCTGTGAAGTATGTTTGAGCATCTGCAGCCAGCATGGGTTGGAGGTTTTGGAAGGAAGACATGGGCATGCCAATAAGAGAGAAGTTGAGGCGCAAAGTGATAGGGGTCACTGAGTCCTCCACACAGGCCTAAAGGAAAGGCATTGAGGATGGGTGTCAAAGAAAGTCCGTCCCAAGGTTACTGACTATACCCAATCTCTGCATCTGTACAGGTTACCACCCCTATCTATGGTCAGTAAGCACCATCCCACCGTGTAGAAGCTCTGCCCCACCTTCCCATATGGCTCTCTCACTTTATCCAGTGTCTTCTCATGCATCCTCAGGAGCATTTATCCCTACCTGACATTCTTTATCCATAAACTCTCTTGTTTGGGGTCACCCATCATCACTGGGGAGCTCCCTGTGGGCAATGACTGCTTTGTCCCCTGTTGGGGGCATGTCTCAGGGGACAGTCATAAGCATGTACTCAATAAATGCCTGGATGAACCAGCATGAAGCTGCAGCCCTGTTCTCTTCTGAAATTCATCTGGGTGACCTCGGGCAGCTGCAACCACTCATGGACCTTCGTTCACTTATTCGGCTACCAGGCATTAAATATCACCTTCATGCCAGATCCTGGGTTAAGGCTGAGCCCCAGTGAAGCCAGAACTGCCCTGTTCTTTATCTGCTAGCCTGCTTCCAGTCCCCAAATGCCCCCCCCCCCGGCAACTTCAGCTACTCCCACAACCCCTCCACAGCCCTCTCACTGGGAGGAGCAACTTCATAGTTTCACAGTGCTGGTTCAGATCAAGGTGTTGGACCCGAGTCAGAGCTCGGGTCTTTGTCTCCTGGAAGATGGCACGGGGATGCATGCGTCCGGGGTCTAGGGTCAAGTCAAAGGTCACAGAACTTTGGAGGCTACCTGTAAGGAAAAGCAGAGCACAGGGAGGATTGAGAGAGCCAGAATTTGCTCAGGTGGGCAAGGGGCAAGTCACCAGAAGGATTCCAGAAGGTTGAAGGATTCCAGAGACCAGAGTCAGAAGGAAGAGGACTCACCTAGTTGGGTCTTTGGGCTTTCATAAATCTGAAGGCAGACAGTGACATTACTCAATGCCCGGACAGACGTTACCTGCTCCTGGCACTCAAACACAGACCTGGTGATCTCTGCAGGTAAGAAGTGCATAGCCACCAACATCCTGAGGATAGGTCTGGTCCTGTTAACAGAACACTGAGTTGAGGAGAGAGCCTTGGCTACTGGGATCTCAACCTGCAATAGGGAAGGTAGGTCCCTGTTCAGACCTAAGATAGATGGGGAGTGTGTAAGGAAGGCTGTTCTCACCTGAGCAGCAGCACACGCCCCTGGGACCCCACAGCCAGGTCCACCAGTCCATCCTGGGTGAGGTCATGACCCCCACTCAAAGACTGCCCAAAATACTGGAGCCTGGAGGAAAACTGGGATCCTGTAATCCTCTGTCCAGAAAAGAAGATGAATCAGGTTTCAGGAAAGGATGCTATGGTTTGGTTGTGATTTGTTTCCTAAGAACTCAGTGTTCAGGCTTTGCAGAACCTTTAAGAGGTGGATTCTAGCGGAACCGGGTTATTGAGAAAGATTAAGCAGTTCTTCTGCAAGCTCAGTTCCTAGAAAACTTGCTATAAAAGAACAAGACTGGCTCCGCATGACTGTAATCCCAGCACTTAGAAGACAGAGGCAGAAGAATCTCTAGTTAAGGCCAGGCTGGGCTATATAGTGAGTTCCAGCCCACTTTGGAATACCTAGTGAGACCCTGCATCCAAACAAAGGACTGGCCTTTCCCTGCTCTCTTTGGCTTCCTGTCCTGCCATATAATCTCTCCCCATTTCCCACCATGCCATCTGTCATGATGTGATGCAGCCAAGGAGCCCTTGCAAGAACCAGAACCACAGTTAGAACTTTCTGCTTCAGAAAGTGAGCTAAGTAAACATAAGCAGGGCAAGAGAGCACTTTTAAAATAAGCAGCAAGAAAAACAGGAAGGTGAGACCACGAGACAAGGAAGGGAAAGGAGGAAGTCACCGTGATGACTAGAGAAAGGAACTCCTAAGAAATTAGAAGGAAGAGCCTGGAAAGCTGACCTGAGTTTCACTCATTCATTTAGTTAGTCCCTGGTTCCAATGAACTCTACTTATAAACCGGGAGGCCTCTAGCAAGGACTCAATCCTTCTGTGCCTCAGTACCCTCATCTTTCATATGGGGCGAGAATACTTCAGGATTTAGCTACAAGCACTAGATGAATCCTTCATGCAGTTCTTAGAACAGCACCTGGAGCATGGTCAACATTATGATGAATATTAAGGCTAAAAGTGGCCTCAGGGGCTTGGGACATGGCTCAGTGGGTAAGAGTGTCTGCTGTGCAGGATCTGAGTTCAAATTCCCAAGTAAAAACCTGGCACGGACACATGTGCCTGTAACTCCAGTGTTGGAGAACAAAGAGAGGTGAATCCTGGGAGTTCATTGGCCTGTCAGCCTAGTCAAAACTTCAAGCTTCAGGCTCAGTGAGTGACTCTGTCTCAAGGGAACAGGTGAAGACTAATAGAGAAAGACATCTGGCCTCCTCATGCGCACACATGTACATGTGCACTCACACACACCCCACAGAAAAATAAATAAAACAAAAAGGACCCCAGGGCTCATCTAGTTGTCAGTCTCATTTCACAAACAGGAAAAGTTGAGAGGCTGTGCCCACGTCACACAGCCTTCAGAGTCCACTCCAGACCTGAAATCAGCAAGTCTAATTCTGAATCCGAGTCACCGTTTTGCTGTATTTTCAAAAGATAAAGAGGGACAAAGTTGGGATGGGGAGTGGCTACACCCAGATCCAGATTCTTCCCTCCTGGGTATCATCTCCCCTGTGGGCTCATCACCTCAGAAAATGACTCTATAGAAAGTGGAAGACATCACAGGTAATCATAGTGAATTTTAAAACGGAAAATTACCTCTTACTAAGTGAATCTAGAAAAGATAGATGTAGGAAGAAACAGCAGCACAGTAAAGGAGCCAACACCAGGGTCTTCATACTCAAGAAGAGCCATGTCTAGTGTGTGAGCCTGTGGGGGGCAGTGCAAGCCTTTCTAGTCAAGTGTGTGGCAGGATGTGATGGGGTGGGGAGAAGGGAGAAATCATCATGGGTCAGTGAATCCAGAAAGGCTTCATCTTTCAATCAGACCTATGGACAGAACCCAAGTGATATTTGCAATCTAGGGTTTACTTAGTAAACCTGTAAGACATTTTGGCTAGGGAAAGCTAAACAAATTGATGTGAACTGAATACCATTTCATGTCATTCTCCCCAAAGGCTCACCCTCCTTAGACCTCTGTATTAACTATTATAACAGTAATAGACTATAACAACACAACACCTACTATCTACCAGGTATATCCTACACACTTTGTATGAACTCACTGGTTTAATGCTCAGCAGCAGCTGGGTGTGGTGAGTTTATTATAATCACCATTTTACAGCTGAACACAGAGAATTAAATATATTCATCTCTTTTCTTACTGTGACAAAATTCCTGACTAAACAACATAAAGGAAGGAAGGATTTATTTTGGCTCATGGTTCAAGTCCTTCCTGGCAGGAAAGACGAGAGCTGCTTATAGAATAGCAGCCGGAGGGGGATTGGGGGCTGGAGAGCTGGCTCAGTGGTTAAGAACACTGGCTGCTCTTGTAGAGGACCCAGGTTCGGTTTTGGTTCCCAGCATCCATAACCCCAGTTCCAGGGGATCCAATGCCCTCTTCTGGCCTCCACAGACATTGCATGCACACATGCACTTACATACACGCAGGCAAAATACTCATACACATGAAATCAGTAAATGAAAAAAAATTTTAAATGGCAGCCATGAAGAAGGAAGAGGAAGAGGAACCAAGGAGGGAGAAGAAGGAAGGGAGAAAGATGGGGTTACTAATCTCTCAGCACTTCTCAATTCAATCACGATTAACCCTCATAGTGAGTGACCTTGCCAGTATCACACAGATTTTGGCAGAACTGCGGGGACTTTTCTTGCACTCTTTTGAAGGAGGAAGTACTGGATTTTTTGAGATAGTCCTATACCATAAAATTTACCTCTTTAATGTATACAGCTCAGTGGGTTTTGTATGTTCAGAGTTGTGAAAACCATTTCCACAATCAATTTTAGAACATTTTCGTCACCCCCAAAAGAGATCTGACACCTGTTAACAGTTACCCCATGTCCTTCATTTCCCCTTAAACCCAACCCTAGGCAACCACTAATCTATTTTCTGTCTCTATAGATTTGCCTATTCAGGACACTTCATAGAAATGTAATCATATAATAAATCCCCTTTAACTGGTTTCTTTCCCTTAGCATAGAGTTTCAAGGGGTAGCCTGTACCAGTTTATGGTGGGGTAATATGCCATTGCATAGATAAATTTCTAATTTATCTGCTCATTAGTTGTTTCCACCTTTTGGCTATTATTAATAATACTGCAAAGATCATTTTTGTAGGGACATGTTTTCAGTTTCCTGGTACTAGAATTTCTGGATCACATGACAACCATATAATTAATCTTCTGAGAAGTTGGCACACTATTCCAAAATGGCCACAGCATGTTTACATTCTCACTAGCAGTGCATGGGGTACTACATTCTCCACATCCTCAGCAGTCCTTGTTCTGATCAGCCCTCTTGACACCAGCTCTGCTGGTGACTATGGCGCTGTATTTCTCTGTGACTATGAGTTGCTCATGCCTGCGACTAATGATGTTGAATCTTCAAGTGTTCATTGGCTTTTGTTAATTTTCTTTGAAGAAATGTCTATTGAAATATTTGCGTATTTGATTTCTTTGACATTTGCAAAGGAATTCAGACCCCACCTTCTCAGGGAAACCTACTCCATTGTGTGGAGGGCTCCTGCCTAACTGGGTACTTAGAAAGATCACTGTTTGCAGGGATGGAATAAAATTAAATAGCGTTCAGGGAGATAAAAAAGATGAACCAGCAAACTAAGGCAGCTGGACCTTAACTGATGAGCAACAGGGAGCCACTGAGAGACTGAGATATGTGAGAAGTCAGAAGACAGGGTCCTCCCTCATCAGTGTCCTGGGTCACCTTGAACCTTGCATCAGATCTGGAAAATGGGTTTCCAACCTGGTCCAGGTATCTTATGAAGTTGCTAGGGGCCTAAAAAATATGGCTGGGAAACTACTCGTCTCAATACAAAGCAGTGCATATGCTAGTCAGTCTTTCCATTTCTTAGTTCCATGGGTTTCACTTGTTTTGAAATACCCAGTGCTTAGCAAGGAAGTAAAATGAAATCATACGGGAGAATTTTCCAGGAGGTGTTGTAAAAGAATGGCAGAATCAAAGAGGAAACTGTCCTAGTGTCAAGAAACAGTGATCAGCCTCACCTGGCTGGGTGAGGGACCGATGACCAGTTTTGAGGCTCCATGAAATATGTAGACAGCACCCCGGTTCTCCTGCTCTCCAGGTGCACCGACAGCCACATCTGTCAGGCTGTCCCCATTCACATCCCCCAGCACTGTCAGAGCCGCCCCAAAGCGGCCCCAAGGATGGCCCTGCTCCCCATGGAGAGTGGCCTCACACTGCCACCTGCTCCTCTGCAGAACAAAATCAGCATCAAGTCCAACCTGGGCAGCCCTCCACCCCACAGCCAGACACCACCCAGCCCAGGACCCCGAAGAGTGAGTCACTTACCCCCCTGGGCATGGGGCACACAGACACCTGGCCCCCTCGGGTCTGCTCATAGTAATGGGGGGCCCCAATCAGGACCAGGTCTGTGTTGCCATCTCTGTCCATGTCCACAGAGCAAAGGGAGGCCCCAAAGTAGGAGCCAATCTGGAGGACCAAGCCAGAAGTCATCCCACTTGCCCTGCCAGATGCCCCCTTGGGACCAGGTCCGGCCTCTCTCCCAGCACCATGACCTCCTCTTTGGGCCCACAGACCCTGCATCTTCTCCTTCTCCACCCTGGTCTCGCTGCCCACCCTCAAGCTCCTCTCTGGCTCCCTCCATACCAACCTGAGTCCCTCTGACTTCAGATTTTGGCCTCCACTGCCTGGATTCCTGGGTAAAGATGACAGCCTTCCCGGTGTGCTGGTGGCGAGGGGCCCCTAGGACCAGGCTGTAGACCCCCTTCCAAAAGGCCAGCTCAGTGGAGTAACCTGAGGGGCCCAGGCCTCAGCACCAAGGCTCTCCCAGCTCCAGCCAGCTCATCCCCCACCCTGCCCACCCCTCCCACGGCCTCTTCTCACCCAGGTAAGCATCCCTCATGTCCACATTCTCCTGAGACATGTTGATGAAGGTGGGTCTCATATTTGGAGGATACAGGAAGACACCTCCAGACCAGCTGAAGCTTCCCACAGCCCCCAGAACTGGTCCATCCTGAGAGGAAGGTATTCCAAGGCTGAGTAGGTTATAGCAAGATGCCAACATAGTCCAGGGAAGCCTCCTCTGGCTCCATACACCCATCCAACACTAGCCACCCCCTCCTCCCTCCTCTCCATCCTATATCACCAGCCTGAAAGGGCTCCACTCACAGGTGTCAGTACAGCACTGAAACCCTCCTGGGACATCTCCAGTTCAAAAGAACTGCTTCTTACTGTCTCTGTACCTAGGGAAACATGATGCTTAGGTTTCAGTGAGAAATTTTTGTGAGGTTCAAGAAGGCTTCTCAGGAAAATCTAAGATCAGAGACCAACACCTATAGCCAGGGTTAGCGCCTGGTAAATGGGGGATCTAGGTTCAAAAAGGGAAGACCCTTAAGCCTGAAGAGTCCTGAAACAGTTGCTTCATTGCTGACTTACCCTCAATGGCAAAGATCTTCTCCTTCAGCTGGTTTTGAATATCCTTCAAAGCACCAAAGTTGTCCACACTGAATATGTGATCCTGGGAAGGCTTTGATGCAATGTTATTTAATTCTTGCCAGGAATGAGCGTGGTGAAAAGCCCTTCCTACCTGTCTCCAACAAAGACCAAGTCAATGAAAATGAAAAATGTAATATGCATATATGTGAACACTATTGTTTGAATCTGAAATGTCCCCTGTGGGTTCATGTTTTGAACAGCTTGTGGGGTAGGACCTCACTGGCAAAAGTAGGTCACTGGGGTTGAGCTTTTGAATTTTAAACTATGACCTCCCCACCCTCCTTTCTGGCCTTTTTCCTGGTCTGCCACAGTGTAAACTGCTGCCTCATACTCCCGCCACTATGAGCTCTATCCTTCCTCTTCTTCCATGGTGGACTGAGACCCTCTGAAACTGTGGGTCAAAATAAATCATTCCATTACAGAAGAGGAGGCAGACGGGATGCAAGATCTTGAGGATGGGGAGGAATAAAATGCTGTTGTCCACATGAGGTGGCTATTGCACTCATGAACTTGCAACAGCTGTGGTTACCTATACAAGATCAACATAAGATCAAGCCAGCCAAAATTCCTACATAGATGCAAAAGATGATCTCTAGGCCCTACCCCTTACTGAGGAGCCTTTGGCAGTTGATAGCTGCTGGGGGTTGCGGGGAGAATCATCCTTCCTGAGGGCATGGTCACTGTGGGTTTCCAACACTCCAGTGGATGGCCCCACACCCATGCACATATGGGCAGCACTGATTAGATTTAGTAGGTTATCAAAAAAAGGGAAGAACACATAAAGTTAGGAAGAAGAGGTACTGGAGGGATACAAGGACATCAGAGGGGGGAAAGGGGGATGCGGTTGTATATGATCATACTTTATTGCGTGGAGGCCAACCTGGTCTACATAACGAGTTCCAGGCTAGCTGGGGCTACAGGAAAAAAAAGTCTCAAAAAAACGATTCCTTGTTTCTGTCAAATATTTTATCACAATGATGAGAAAACTAATACACTACTAATATCCTCCAAGAACACCTTCAGTGCTGTCTTAACAAGTTTCAGATAGGTTGAACTGGGCTAGGATGGAATTTTCATCCTGAAACAGCAGGAGATGAGAAGGGAAGAGATGGGAGGAAGTGGTGGGTGACCCTCTTGGTGTCATACCCCAATTGCATAACGGATGATGCCTGCTTTCTCTGCTGTGGGAATGACATCTTTATAATCCAGGTGGTCACCTTCTTTCCTTCCATCAGTGATGACAATGAGGATCCTAGTGGCATCTTTCCGGGCCCCATTTTGGGCAGTGAACAGGTGCATTCTATGGAGAAAGAACAGAAGCCAGAGGCCTGTGAACAAAACTATGCTGGCTTCTGATGGCTTTGTGAAAATGAGGCTGTAGCCCTTCCTTTGGGAGGCCCCAGTCCCATTCAGAAAACCCTCCAAGTTGGCAACAGGGTTATGGGCTACATTTCAGGCATTTCCTATTCCTTTCTTGTAAAAGCAAATGAGGCCTAAAGGGAGATGTGGATGCTCTGAGAAAGGATGTGGGGACTCACATGACATGCTGAATAGCTGTAGCTGTGTGCGTTGTCCCAAACAGTTGGTATACAGAATTCAGGAGGTTTAAAGGGTTTGGACTGGAGATGAAGTCACTGAAAGTGAAATGTGTCTGGAAACGGTTGGAGAACTGCACCAGGGAGAACTGAAGAGAACCACATGGGGTTGAGGGTTGAGACTACTTCCTCAAGGCTGCTAACACTCCCCAGCAAGCCTTCCCACAGCAGGGCCTGCAGACATGCCTCCATCCCCCCTGGGGAACATACCTGTGTGTTAGGTCTCTGGAACTGGTTCATCACAGCTTTCACAAAGTCCAGCATTGTTTTAAAATTGTTGGAAGAAATGCTACCTGAGCCGTCAATCAAGAACACAATGTCCTGTTCCTGCCTTGGACACTCTAGGGAAAACATACCTGTGTGTTAGGTCTCTGGAACTGGTTCATCACAGCTTTCACAAAGTCCAGCATTGTTTTAAAATTGTTGGAAGAAATGCTACCTGAGCCGTCAATCAAGAACACGATGTCCTGTTCCTGCCTTGGACACTCTAGGGAAAGATGTGGCCCTGGTCCTCTAAGGAACACTCAAAAGAACCCAGGACCTTGACCTCCTGGTCACAAGAACTCACTTTCCCAAAACCCTCCGCCTACCCGAGTCTGGCAATCAGAGCCCAGCCCCTCCTGGGTCCCCTCTATGTCAGAGAGCAAAGCTTCCTTAGTCCTCTGACTCAGGCAAGGCCTTTGAGTCTCATAAAGTCTCATAAAGAGGCTACAAGAGCTTCTTCGCCCCACAAAGCCATGCTGGTAGATACAAAAGTACAAGCACCTCCCATCCAAGTGGCAAGAAGCCAAGCGCCTTCTCCCTCCACAATGACCATCTGTTCCCTCCCTCTCGGGCCTGATCCCTCAAAACAGCCAGGAAGGAAAGGACCCTGGTCCATGACAAGTGCCTATCACTGGTTAAATGCTGAATTGGACTTTTGCTCCTTACTTTCAGTGTCATCCCTATAGCAAGAGTCACACACCGACCCTGTTCTGTTCTCTGCTTCAGTGTGGATTCCCTTCCTGAGCAAAAGCAGAATCTTTACTCAGAAGCTTTTCCCATTCAGCAGAGGAGACCCCAGTCCGTTCCTTCCAGCTTTCTTTTTGCACCAGGGGCCTCCCACAGAAAGACTAGTGTTCTGACAGTTCCTGTGGATGGCGTCTAGACATAAGGAGTTACTGGATGGGGCACCCATCCGTTTCCCTAAGGGCCTCAGAGGAAGTGTGAAGCCAGACAGTGACCTCCGAATTTGACAGGCTGGGTCTGAAAAGCACACAGTTCCTCCACACCTTCCATTGCTACTAGTGCCAGAGAAGTCATGCCCTGTGCTTTGACCTGGTCAAGCACACACACAGTCACACACAAGCACACATGCATGCATGTACATATATACATATGACTGTACATACGCATACATAAACACGCACAGTCGCATATGCATGTACATGCAGCTCAAACTGCATCTCCATCAGCTGTGCTCAGACTGCTGTACCAACCAGCCATTGGAAAATTAATCACCTCCATTTTCATTCTAAAAGCACTAGCAGCTTACGTTAACGGTGACCTCATGGCATGCCAGGCATTGTGTTATACCTCAGCCATGGGTCATCTTGTGTTATTTCCAAAGTTGTATACATTACTAGCCCCATTTGAGAGATGAAGAGTCTGAAGCTCCAAGACAGCAGAATAGGGTGTCAAAGCTGGGAGTGACTGTGTTATACCTCAGCCATGGGTCGTCTTGTGTTATTTCCAAAGTTGTATACATTACTGTCCCCATTTGAGAGACGAAGAGTCTGAAGCTCCAAGACAGCAGAATAGGGTGTCAAAGCTGGGAGTGACTCTCCAGCCAAGACTGGAGCTGCTACATCATTCCTGAACTACTCTTTTCCAGATCCTCTCCTACCCCCGCTGCACCCCCAGTTAGATATGTGTGGGCTCCCCAAAGGAGCCAATGGCCCTGAACACTCACCCTGCAGAGCAGCTGGGAACCTTTGATCCTTCAGGAAGGATGAGCCCAGCAGAAAGCAGAACCCAGTCAAGTAGATATTCTCTCTGCACGTGTGGTGCACGGTAGGACCGCAGGCCTTGCGACAGAGGGGGCTGATGGATGGAGCTGCATTTGCTCTGGCCCCCCTCCTGTCCCAGCACCTCAAGCATCCATAAGCACCCCAGCCCAACAGCCTCAGGTCCCTATTCTTCCCCTCAAGACCCTCACTGAGAACAACTCACCAGCAGCGAGGAGGGATTGGTGGCAGCAGCGAGGGACAGGCCCAGGGACATGTTCACAGCCTCTGGGGGCACTGAGGAGACAGACATGTGCATGGTCACTCTTGGGGGAAGAGGAGACTATGAGTGCTGGGTGGGACTCACCTCAATCTGGGAGACAAAGGAGCCTCACAGAGAAAGGAGACATCCAGGTCATAAGGGAGCTGAGGGAACACGGGGGTGCAATGGGTTGGTCTAGGAGCCCATCTCAGGCTGAGAATCTAATCTACAGAGAGAGCTGAAACTGGAAAGTAGGGCTTCTGAACTCTGCACTGGCCCCAGAACATAGGAGCCCAGCACTAGGTCCTAGGCAGAGCTGTGACTCACCCTGCAGGTGGATGGGCTCACATGTGCCTGTGCTGTAGCCACATTTGTAGAGGCCACCTATTTGATTAGTGGCCTTTATTTCCTTGGGTGCTCCAACCACCACCCTGTGGGGAGACAGAGAACAGTGCAGTCAACAGCAGACACTGGAGCCCAACCCCACTCCAGAGGGTCGACTCCACCTGTCTATAAATTAAGATTCATAAGAATTGTAAATCGGAGTGGGTGAGAATTTTTCTATTTTATTCCCTGGTGTACACCCAGCATCTTTGATGTAGAGTGGGTACGTAGTAAATATTTGTTGCCTGGACAATTCTTTGTAAGTTTACTATGAGACTAAATTAATGCTTGTCTGTGGAGTCAGGTCAACCTATAGTGCCTGGCACTTAGTAAGCACTCAGTAAATGTTACCTGAAATTATTCAACAGCAACACAATGCTGATTTTCAGTACAGACATTCATAATGTGGAGAACATTGCCACACTCAACAAAGGGAAAGTGTGCAAATAATGCCACTGGGGCATGGGGTTGGTAGAGACAGGGTTCTGCGGGGAGAAGAGCTGATAAGAGTCAAAAGTTGCTACCCAATCCTCACCAGGAGTTTCCATACTGGACCACGCTATGTCCAAACCCAGCACTGTCCATGTGGAAGTTTGTCGGCCGCTCTGTATCCAGGTTGAAGCTGAGAGAAGGCATGAAGGCTACGGAAGTATAAGAAGCTTCAGAGGGGGTCTGCCTCCTACCCAACCACCATCTCACCCTGCTCGCTCCATCTCCTGGATTGTTGACTCCCTTGTCTCTCTTCCACACCCAATATCCCAGAGGCCCTGGCCCTGGGCTCCTTCCCCACCTCTACCCCTGGGGCTTCCATGAGGAAGAATCTAGGGAAGCTTGGGGGCCACAGGGGCATGATAGGCACATAATGAAATTTATTTGTTCTGCCTACTTAAGAAATCTGTGGACTATCAAATTCAACTAGCCCTCCCTTTCCATATCCCTTGAATTCTCCCCAAACTGTTCTTCAATATTCTCTCCTTTCCCCAAACTTCATATCCCAAACCTTATGCCCCAGTCTCTGGCTAATACTAAGTCTCTCTCCCTACCTAGACCCTGATCACTCAGCCAGATCCTCCAGCTCAGAAGCCTGACTCACTAAAACCAATTCCCCAGTCCCAGTTGTTCAGGGCCCAGGCTCACCCATCATCAGAAAGAGGGCTGTGCAGGTACTGCTCATGACGAGAACAGAGGCAGTGCTCTGAGCGCCTAGGCCACCTCAGGAACAGCTACCAAGGCACTGAGGAAGCAAATGAGTAGAAAAGTGGTCAGGAGGCCAGAGATCAGGAGGGAAGTTTTCAGCATGACTCAGAAGGGAAGGGTGGAGAATTCATCAGAAATAGGTAGTGAGGGAGCAGAGGCAGCCCACAGAATCGTTCTAATCAGAAATGACTTGACATGGTTCCTGGTCCCTCTGATGTTTGCCTGAATGGATGCAAATCTCCTGCCCTGTCTTATCCTTTTCAGTTCTCTCTTGTACTAAAAGATGCTTTCCCTTGACTTTGACTTTTTTGTAACCCTCAAGAGGGTAGAAGGACAAGGGCCCATCCTTGAGGACACTAATTAGATCCCTCCACTTCCAGGCTGGTAGACTGCATTAAGAAGTGAGCATGTAGCCCTCTGGAAGAACATGGAGTATTCGTTCATAATAGTGGTTTAGTCATTTATTCAATGAACATCACTGGAGGCTGATGAGAAGCTTTTGCTAGGTGGAAAAGAAAACATAAGCCATAAGCCAAAGTCATTGCCTTAACTTGGGGGTCAGTGGAGACACTTGATGGATGGGCAAGCAGTAAGATGGTCGCTGTGAAAGGTGAAGTACAGAGACCACTAGAAGTCCCACTGAGGCTGAGAGGACCCAGAAAGCTTCCTGGACGAGGCAGCACTTGAGTTGAGTCTTAAAGGCAACTGAAGTCAGGAGAACACAGGAAAACGGATTTCAGAAGAGACAGCCAGATGTGAAGGAAAAACAACACCAGAGACCTGTTTGTGGAGTAAGTTATAGGAACTGTAAAAATGTGTGATGTGGCAATTTCCTCTGGACAGATTCATTACCTCTCAGGGGAGGAAAGAGGCCTGTGAGACTCAGTAAGTAAAAATCCCACAAGTTTCAGGAAATACCTAAAACTAACAAGATTCACACTCCCCCAAGGTGGTAAACAACTCTCTCTCTCTCTCTCTCTCTCTCTCTCTCTCTCTCTTGCATCATCACTTGCTGGGGTGGACTTTTCAGTGACATAGCTGCCTTGAAGTCATCCATGCTTTTACCAGTAACCCCTCATCCACAGTCCTGCCAATAAATTCATTGGTTTGCCAAGCCAGAGTTTAGTGAAATTGCTACTTTAATCTGTCGTCAGTTCTCTGTCTGGGATGAGTAGATATTTGTTTACGTCCCCCTTCAAAAAGCTAGCAGGAAGGGTAAGCAGGCCCCAGGCCCTGGAAATTCCATTAAGACATGTAGCACATGTTAGATGTAGGAGGGCAGAAAAAGGAAGGAGTTTCAAGTTTTGAAGTAACAGTCAGAGTCCAACCTGCAACAGGCAAGGAATGTGCTCCCTGGATCCAAGGAACGCAGCAGAGGGCTGATAAAAGTGGTTCCTTGGGGAATGATTATCTGCAATCTAAAGGGAGAGCAGTCTGGTCTTTTATAGGAACTCTGCTGCACACAGCTCCAAGAGTGAACTCCGTGCCAGGGTCCGGTGTCCTTGAGGGTCTCTTTTCTGAAGATTATTTGCTCAGGCAGGCGGGTAGTTTATCTATACACTAAAGGATACAAGTGGGCTCCATAAACAATCTCTCTCTCAGTCCAGGGAGTGACCAGTTGGTAAGGCTTGAGCAAGGCCGGGCTGCCAATTTAGGGTCAGTTAGACACTTTAAGGGATTTATGGATTTCCCTAATGAGGCTTGTGGCTCTCTGCAATTGACATATTCTAAGAGCACTCACCTTTGATTCCAGCATTTGGGAGGCAGAGGCAAGTGGATCTCTGTGAGTTCAAGTCCACCCTGGTCTATATAATAAGTTCCAGGCCAACCAGGGTTATATAGTGAGAATCAATCTCAAAAAAAAAATAAAAAACAAGAGGCTGGAGAGATGGCTTGGTGGTTAAGAGCACTGGCTGCAGAGGACACAGGTTTGGTTCCTAGAACTCACATTGTGGCTAACATCCATCAGTAGTTCCAATTTCAGGGAATTTGACACATTCTTCTGACCTCTGCAGGCATTGCACGCATGGGTGCACTTACATACATGCAGAGCACTCAAATACATAAAATAAATTTTTAATTAAATTTTTAAAAAAATTAAATTTAATAAAAATGAAAAAAAGACAGGTTTATTTTTATCCTGCAGGCAGAAAGGAGCATTAAAGGGAATTAATGAAGAATGAGATCTTCACATTTATCTTCAAAAAACTATAAAGTAATTCACAATATCCAGGTTATGGATTTAGAATGGATAAACAGCAATGGATGAATGAATAAAGAAAATGTGGTATATATACAAAATGGAGTATTATTTAACCATATAGAAAGATGAAATTAGGGGCTAAGGATGTCACCAAGCATAGGAACACAGCTCCACACCATGCCAGTACCTGCCTGAGGAGATCTTTTCAGAGACCAATCAGGATTTATTGCTTTGACAGAGAAATTAATTTCAGGATGAGCCAATATAAAGCAAATTTGTATTTATTGGGTCAATAAGAAGGCTTGGCAAGTAAAGGAGTTTGCTGCCAAGGCTGACAACCTGAGTTCAATTCCTGGAACCCATGTGGAAGGAAAGAACTCCAAGTTGCCCTCTGACCTCCACATGCACACTGTGGCATGTTCAATCTCTCTCTCTCTCTCTCTCTATATAAAATAGAAATAAAAGTCCTCCAAGAAAGAAAGAGTAAAGCACACACAACAGGATGAGTTTGGGCTTCACTTAGAGAGAACTGTAACTGGGTTTCCTTACAAAGGCTTGTGATGGTTAATCATACTGCAGGTGCTGTGTGCAAAGATGAGACCCCCAAGGCTTTCTTCTCCCAGGAGGCAGTTTATTCGTGCTGGCATCTGGTTTTGTGGGTTCATACCAAAAGACAGAGCCTCAAGCAAAGAAAGACCCAGCCTTTTATATCTTCGGTTAGTCTCCCTTTACAGTTCAGTTTGTCTCCCATATATGGTAATACATACCCTGATGGATGCTCCATGCTACAAGGTCATGCAGAACTCTATGCATGCACTTTGACACAGATCCCACTGCATTGCTTTTTCTTTGCCCTGGGGGGCGTTCCTACCACAATCCAAATTGTCAACTGAAATCAACTAAAACATAAGTCTCTAGGTACTACTCTGAGGGACTTTCTTAATCAGATTAATTCTAGGAAAGGCTGATTTTTCAATATCTAAATTATCATAATTCTTATTGTGGCTAGTAATTTGATCTGTCCTGTTATCTTGATATTGCATCAGATTTTAGTTTGAGGAAGTAAATGGAAAGTCACATTACAGATGAAATCAGATAATAATATATTTCTTTAGATTCCTTTTTAAAATTTTTGTCTTTTCCCACATACCAATGAGATAGAAACAAGAGGTCAGATCTGTTAGATATTATAATTTGTAGATTTTGTGGGCATAATCAAATATTTTTTGTTTTATAATCAGATAGGAAAATGAACTTCAACAGAATGTAGAGACACTGTACAATATTGCCTGTTTACTTTTATTGGCAAAATATGAATATTGTTTGATTTTTTTAATCCCAGCAAACAGTACTAAAGGATGCTATAAATAACTCGATCAAGAAGCAATGGCTTTTGAGGTATAAACATCATGAATAGTGTAATTGGGGACTGATTTTTTAAAATATAATTTGGATAAGAAAAGCTACCCAAACCTTTGGGTAACCCTAATAGAGTGAATGAAGTTTGCCATAGGGATTGTCAGAGTCTTTCACTTGTATCTCAACATTTTAAATATCAATAGGAATAGTAATCCAACTCTTTAAAGTTTTATTTTTATTATTTTTAGGTGTATTCTTGGAGCTTTGGGGGGGCTTCGCACACATGAGTGCAGGTGCCCGAGAAGCCAGGTATTGATCCCCTGGAGCTAGAGTCACAGGCAGTTGTGATGTGGGTGCTGGGAACCGAATTCAGATCCTCTGCAAGAGCAATATCTGCTCTTAACCACTGAACCTTTGCTCCAGCTCTAGAAACAGTAATCTTAATTATTTAGACCCAGTTAATATTTTTCACTTTTATAGTAGGAAGACCTTTATGTGGTTTAAGTTCTAGGAGGATGAATTTCAAATTGAGATAACAGGTACTGGAGAGCTGGCTCAGCAGTTGAGAGCACTAGGAGGTCTTGCAGAGGACCTGAATTTGGTTCCCAGCACCCACATGACCACTAACAACCATCCTAACTCCAGTTCCAGGGAATTCGATGCTCTCTTCTGACCCCCATGGGCATTACACAACATGGGTACACTCACATACACACAGGAAATACATTCGTACACATAAAATAAAAATAAATATTTAAAATAGAGATACCCTTTAAAATGGAGTTCTTTTGGAAAATTTAAAATAAGACTTTTCCAATCTAAAAACTATTTTAAAAAGCCAAATTATACTGAATACAGTAAGATTTTTTTTAAAAGGGTCTTCCTGTAGCCCCACCTGGCCTGAAACTCTCTATGCAGAGAAAGCTGCCTGCCTCTGCCTCCCGAGTGTTTGTATTAAAGGCATGGGCCCAGCCCAGAGAGAATTCTTTTATAAAGGTGGTAACAAAAAGATAGTAGGTCTGGGCAAGCTCACAGTCATAAGAGAAATGTGATTGGTAAAAGGACATAATGGCTTCATTTGTAACCGCCAAAACTAAGATTAGTTCTTTTATCATTTAGGAATATACCACGGAAAATTTCAAATATCTTAGAAAATTTTAAAGTACCTAAATATAAAAAGATTCAAGAAATGTTAACAGTGAGAGTTAAATATTCAGTTACTTGAAGCACTCACCTGTTGATGTAGTCAAAGATGAGTGTCCCAGCTGTTCTGAAGTCCATGTAGATGTATTTTCAGAAGCTGTCAGAAACTGAAGACTTTATCTGCTGAAGCTTTACAGCAGAGGATGTGGTTAGAAGCACCTGATAAGTCCTTTAGAGTCCTTTCTTGGGCCTGGTGAGCTGGCTCAGTGGGTAAAAGTACTTGCTGCCGTGCCTGATGACGTGAACTGGATCCCCAGGACCCACATGGTAGAAGAGAACCGGCTCCCACAGGTTGTCCTCTGACCTCCACTCATGTGCCTTGTGTCATGAGCGTGCGTGCATACAGAAAATAAATAAATAAATAATAACAAATTAATCTTTAAAGAGCCGCTGGTGAGCTGGCTCAGTGGGTAAAAGTACTTGCTGCAGTGCCTGATGACATGAACTGGATCCCCAGGACCCACATGGTAGAAGAGAACCGGCTCCCACAGGTTGTCCTCTGACCTCCACTCATGTGCCTTGTGGCATGAGCGTGCGTGCATACAGAAAATAAATAAATAAATAATAACAAATTAATCTTTAAAGAGCCCCTTTTTCTCCAGAAACAAGTCTTGATTGTGGTATCTTTTTCCAGTTTATGAAATCACCTGGTTTTAGTTCTCAGTTTTTTAGCTTTTCTTCTTCTGGGCTCTTGCTGTGGAAAGACTCTATAGCCAATTGTGAAGTTTCAGTTATCATCTTTAAAAGCTCCTTATGATAGCATATAATGCCTCCCTTTAATACAAATGATTTGTATACTTTCGGTATTTTTATAGGACATACAGTATTTATTTTCCAAGGAGATAATGGATATTTTCCAAAAGGGTAGATCTTAGATTTAGAGGAACTCATGGGAGTGTGTGGGGCTAAGGAAACCGAAAGCTTTAGTTTAGTCATTTTTGACAAGTAATGTTATTTTTTGATTTAGTTGATGATCATAGGTACAACAAAATTTTGTACAATAGGCCAAAATTTACAATAGATTTAAATACTTGTCTATTAAAATAAGTTTTGTGATCATTCTGCTGTTCGGTAGGAATGTCTCAAGTAGAAATAATTTTTTTAATAGAATTTTCCCTAAGGCAGTGGCTATGCAGCAAGTGAAGGCTTTACTCCATGGGAAAGCATACAGACTTAGCATTTGGATGAAATCTAATCACCACATTTAAATTTTTTTTAATTTTATTTATTTTTATTTTATATGTGTGTGTGTATTGCCTGCATGTAGGTAAGTGCACCTGTGTCGTGCAATGCCTGCGGAGGACAGAAGAGGCTGTCAGATCCCCTGGAACTGGAGTTACAGACAGTTGTTAGCTGTCATATGGGTGTGTTCTTAATCGCTGAACCATCTCTCCAGCCCATAATCACCACATTTTAAAAGGCTTTTTTAGTAAAAATCTTTTGTTTTCCAAACCAGTTTTTCTGTAAACGTTACTAAGAGCAGATCAGTATTTTAAGAAAAACTTGTTTAAATAGAGAATCAAGCACTGAGTTAATTATAATCAATTTAGTTATATCCATGACATCTTTCTTACATTTTCAAATGTAGCCATCCTATAATAAGAATTCAATAGCCATAATAGACACCACAGGTTAACAAATGAAAAGCCCAATGCCAGGCACGAACTCCCTCTTTTGGAGTTGTTGGCCAGAGAGGGCCCATAGATCCTCAAACAATACTAACTATTGACATTGCACTGGGTTACCCACCAGAACTTGACAGAAAGGACCTTAATGCTGAAGACACTCCTTACCTGAGAGGCAGAATAAACAAGGAAAAATCAAGCTGATACTGACCTTGAAGCTACATCTCTGCTGGCTAGTTTTCATGGTGCCAAAAGGTGCTATGCATGTTACTGGAAGAAAAAGTAATCATCAACCTTACCCAGCTGTGACCCCTGCAAGCTATAATAACAACTAGTTTGACAAAATATGCCCACTGATGCAATAGTGGCACAAATATTATGGGAGTAACAAACCACCCTCTGGGTGGGCTTAAGGCCTGCTTCACAATAGGGAATCTGGCCAAGAACCTGCAGCTAAACAAGTCACAGGCCACAGGGAGAACCTACCACTATCATTTTGCTAAATAGGCATAATATTAAACTGACTCATAATGACTTATTATCATACCCATAGATTAGTGGATCTCTCAGCTCTCACCAGAGAAGGTTCTTCTGACAGTAAATGTTGATTAACGCAGAGATCCACGCTAGTCACATGCAGAGAACAAGACACAGCAGAATGCTCATCCCTAAATGGGACACTGACACTTTAACTTTTCACAACTTTTTTAACTTTCTAGTTTTGTCCTCATCTTTTATTTTTCTATTTTGGAACAAACTTTACTGTAGGCCTGAACTAATTTACAATCTAAAAGCCTTTCTTATATAAAACCATTTTCTTTGTCCTTAACTTTCTTTACCAACCATATATTTTATATTTACAACTTTCATATCTCTCTTTTTTAAAAAACTTGATGACTCCTTTGCCTTATTTTTCTTTACAAAAATTAGGAAATACTTCTTTCTTAGTAAAATAGATAAAGTCCAAATGGAAACTTTATCCAAAACACAGAAAACATACTTATTGTATCTTAAATATCTAACACAAATGCAGTCAAAACACGTGAGCAGTTCTGTTAACAATTTTTAATTATTTGCTAAGTATTTTAAACCTTGTTATACTAGGCACTTAGAAAGTGTCTTTGTTTATTTTTCTGACTTTAATTTTTTAATATTTTTATGCGTATGTGTGTATTGCCTGCATGTATATAAGTGCACCCATGTTTGCAATGCCTGCGGAGGTCAGAAGAAGGTGTCAGATTCCCTGGAACTGGAGTTACCAATGATTGTTAGCTTCCTTGTGGGTGCTGAGAATCAAACCCGAGTCCTCTGCAAGAGCAGCCAGTGCTTTTAACTGCTGAGCCATTTCCCCAACCCCCAAAAGTGTCTTTGTTTAAAAAATTTTTTATTTGGGTCCACAAGACAACCAAAAGCAGAATTAAGTTTTTTGTCTTTTGCCTACTTTACCTGTTTTATTTTAGAATCATTTGTTTACCTTCGTAGTAAGAATGTCAATAATTTTTGGTGTGTATGTTTGTTGTGTGATGTGTAATGTTCATATGTGTGCACCTGTGTGTGGTGCACATTTGTGTGCAGAAGCATGCACCTGTGTGTGTGCAGAAGCATGCACCTGTGTGTGCACCTGTGTGGTGTACATGTGTGTGTAGACGCATGTACCTGTGTGTGCATTGTGTGTGGTACACCTGTGTGTGTGCAGAAGCATGCACTTGTGTGCACCTGTATGGTGCACATATGTGTGCAGAAGCGTGCATCTGTGTGTGGTACACCTATGTGTGCCTGTGGAGGCCAGGCATCATTGACTTCCTCAGTTGCTCTCCACCTTATATTTTCATTTGTCTGGATATGAAGCTTATCACTGAACACGATTTGGTGGGGCATAGAACTCTGCACATCAGCAGCCCTCAAGCGCACAGGGCTCACCGCTTACCCAGGGAAACACAACTGAGGATGTATTTGACCCCACAGCATTTTTACGCCCTATGATTCACTTATTAAACATATGAAATAAATTTTTTAATATTTTCAGAATATTTTTATTTACTCTCTGACAGTTTTATATATCAATGTATCTTGGTCATATCTGCCCCAAACTCCTCTCTCCTGCCTCCTCCAGATTCCCCTGACATAGCCCCCTCCCATCTTCATGTCCTCATTTTTTTTTTAATTTTCAAATTTTATTTTCAAGTTTTTTTTTTAGAAGCAAAATAAATTTTTTAATATTTTCAGAATATTTTTATTTACTCTCTGACAGTTTTATATATCAATGTATCTTGGTCATATCTGCCCCAAACTCCTCTCTCCTGCCTCCTCCAGATTCCCCTGACATAGCTCCCTCCCATCTTCATGCCCTCATTTTTTTTTTAATTTTCAAATTTTATTTTCAAGTTTTTTTTTTTAGAAGCATTTCATTACAGCTTTAACATATTCAGTAACACATTCCAGAGCAAGGATACATCTCTTTCAAAGGTGGCTGTAA